AGCTGCTGTTTTAATTTACAAAAGCCAAACTTAATTCTTGTTCCGACTAAAGGAATAAAGAGAAATGTAAAGGAAAATTAAAACGATTCAACTCAACGCAGCTTTGATTCGGTTTAGTCCGCCATTGCCAAATCTCCAATTCGAGAAAAAACAATGTCGATACCTTTTCATAGAAAATATTAATTTCCCCCACCCCTGGACCTGATTTCACAAGGCGACAAAAACAAGTCATGTCGTGACAACTTGACTAATTTTATATCATCTTGTTTGTCTCAGTAAAAATTTCAAAAACTCCACACACTTTGAACTAAATAATTTTTTTCTAATTTAAATGAATTTAAAATACTTTAACTTTAAATAAATCATTACTCAACAACTATTAGGCCGATTTCCTTCAAATAAAGACTATTCTAAAGGGATGGATTTGCCCTTTAGAATGATATGCAATTTGAAGTAAATCGAAGTAATCTAAGAAAAACCCTACGAGTAAATCTTTTTTCTTCCTCACCATCGTGAAGAGCATCTTTTTATTAGTAAGAATCCAAATTGTTAAAATAATATACTGAGTAGTTTTCAAGATATGATTTTTTGAAGTTAAGGTTTGCTATTCAGGTATTGCGCCATATAGGAGAAATGCATGTTAATCTTACTTAAAATTGCAATTTTATAAAAGTATTTGTTTTAAGACTCTTCTTTTGCGTAAAAATAGTCAATTGCACCTTCTTTGTTCTAATTAGAATAAACAAAAACTGTTTCTTTACTTAAAACAAACAATTAATTAAAGTAAATAAAGAGTTTTGTTGTACTAAAAATGATCACTGATCATTTCAGGGCCGAAGGACATAAATAATAATTTTTGACAATGTCAACGGACTATGATTTGACAACAAAGTGTTCGCCACAGCTGGCATTAGAGCAAAAGAAATAAAAATCATGATGAGGATAACGTAAATTATTTCTATGGAAGGGCAATGTCCGAATCATTACCACATGCAGCTAAAATCTCGTATTTCTTCAAAAAAATCGTAATTTTAAAACTCAAAAATTAAAAATCAGTTTTTACAAACGCTTAAATCAGATGCATATCTGCATTAAAGTTTAAAATTTAAGAAATTTAATTTTTATAACACTTAAAAACAATATAATTTTTCGTATAGTAGAAAATAAAAAACAATAAATAAGACACATGTCGTGACAACTTGAGAAATTTTATATGTTTTGTTTTAAATGTTATATGTTTTATATGTTTTGTTCAAAGTGGACTTTTTGAATTTTTTTTAGTGCATTTGATTTGTCTCACTGAGACGACCAAAATTGGCTTGTGTTTGAGTTTTGTGTATTTTGGCGGAGTCCTGCTTGTGTATTGGCTTAACTGTTTCCTAATCGTGAGTTAATCCCCGACATGGAGTTTCGTCCAGTAAGTGCGATTTGGACCGCAACAGCGCGAACTCGTCCAGGAGTCGACAAACAGGATTAGGTCGAGCGGCCAGGTGGTCATTTCCGAGCACGACAATTAGCAACAGCGACTTTTCCTTCCTTCGAACAAATAGCTAATGAAAATGTTTGCGAAGGACGGGAATTGGCGACGTCAAGGGCGGCGGTGAGAAATGACCAGAGGAAAGCACACAGACCGCATATACGGGATGCAGGTAGCAGCCAACTCGCTGAATTGCCCCCATTTGTCTCCATCCAAACTATGGATGCGAAGAGGGACAAATGAAGAGTTATGGATTCGTAACTGAGCCACAATGACGATGTCGAGTGGACGGGGAGTGCACTCGGAGACATGCATGCTGAGAGCACTAATGCAAATCAAAACGGACATCGCGGGGATTCCCCAATTAGGGCGATACAAACCAACAATTTCCACCCTTGAGCCTTTAAACCAAGTGTTTTGAGTTTTATTTAATTTTTTTTTTTGGTATTATGGGCTTCAAAATTCCGATTTTTGTAATGTAGACCAGACTTTGGTTCAAATATAAAAAAAAATCAAAATTATTGTGATATTTTACATCAGAAAAACTTAAACTGAAAAGATTTAGAGCAAGTAAGCTTTTTTTTTCAAAGATTGTATATCAACGTGGGCATTTTTTTTATTAATTTGGACCTGCTAGACACGATTTTGGGCTAAAACCACCAAAAAAATTTAAAAATCTTGAATTCTTGTCTGGTTAGACTATATTTTGAGCCAAATCTCAAAAACAACAAAATTTTCAAAAATCCTATTGTCAAACAGGGCACTAAACCGAGTCTACATCAAGAATCTTGGTTAAAATGCAATTTTTTCAAAAAATAAACTAAAAACTGTGCTAATTTTCACTAATTTGTGTCTGTAAAATACAAATGTGGAGTTACTTTTTAAATTTTTGACATATTACGTCCTAAAAACATTAAACGTCGGCGAATTTAGGTTTTTGCCTTTGTGGACCACATTTATACAAAAATTTCAAAAACTTAAAACCGAAAAAATTCTATTGGCATATTTGGAATCCTTGTAACATTTTACACAAAAAATTATAAATTGACAATATTTTAGCTAGTTGAAGTTTCAGAAAAGTCACAAAACTGAATGTCACCTGACGACACCCAAAAAAATTTGGTCAAATTTACTTTTTTTTCAAAAACTAAGATCAAAAGTAAACTCAAGAAACACTAAACTGTTCTTATTTTTCAATTGCAATATACATTTTGAGCTAAAACCACAAAACAATTCAAAATTCTGAATTTTTGTTTCATTAGACTATTTTTTGGCCCAAATCCCAAAAACAACAAAATTAAAAAAAATTCTATTGTCAGATTTGGAGTTCTTGCCACATTTTGCGCCTACAACATCAAATTAGAACGATATTTGGGCATTTCTTCCTTCAAACAAGGCACTAGATTGAATTTTACAAGTTCACATCAAAAATCTTGACACAAAAGGCAATTTTTTCAAAAACTAAAATCAAATTATGCTAATTTTGACTAATTTGAGTCCGCAAAGTGCAAATCTGAAGTAATATTTCAAATCTTTGATATATTACACTCTAAAAACATCAAAAGTCGGCAATTTTGGGTTTTTGCCTTTGTGGACCACATTCATGCCCCAAAAACCAAAAATCAGACATAATGTCTAGTGAAAATTTTCAAATCTTTGCTTCGTTTTATATTAAAAAATCAAAACTCAAAGATTTTTTGGCTAAATGTACTTTCACAAGAACGATAAAGTCGAATAGCTAGTTTTTTCAAAAATTAAAACCAAAAGCAGGTATATTTTTAACAATTGGCCTTTGTGAACACGAATCTGGTCTTATTTTTTAAATCTATGACAAATTTCATCCTAAAAATATCAAAAATCCACAATTTTATTGTTGTGGACCACATTTTTACACAAATCTGAAAAACTAAAAATTGAAAAAAAATCTGCTGCCATATTTGGAATTATAAACTGACAACATTTTAGCTAGTTAAATTTTTATAAGTCACAAAACTGGATGTTACCTGACGATACCCAAAAAAAATTTAGTCAAATTTTATTTTATTTTTCAAAAACTAAGTTCAAAGGTGGGCCAGTTTTCATTAATTTGAACCCAAGCAACACGAAACTGTTCTTATTTTTAAATTGCAAAACACATTTTATTCTAAAACCACTGATGCCCTCATCAAAAATCTTGCCAAAAAAAAGCGATTTTTAAAAAAATCAAAATTAAAATTATGCTAATTTTGACTAACTTGATTCCGCAAAGTACAAATGAGGAATTATTTTTCAAATCTTTGACATATTGCGTCCTAAAAACATCAAAATCTTTGCTTTATTTTAAACCAAAAAATCATTTTAGGTAAATGTACAAGACAAGAATAATAAAAACTGAATAATGTTAGTTTTCCCAAAAAATAAAACCAAAAGCAGGTAAATTTTTAACCAAATAGGCGCGATGACACGAATCTGGTCTTATTTTTAAAGTCTATGACACATTTCGTCCTAAAAATATCAAAAATCCACGATTTACACTTGTGTACCATATTTTTATCCAAATTTCAAAAACTAAAAATAGAAAAAATGCGATTGCCACATTTGGAATCTTTATCACATTTCACACAAAAAATCATAAATTGACAACAATTTAGCAAGTTTTACAAAAGTCACAAAACTGAATTTTATCTGACACCTAAAAAAATTTTGGTCGAATTTAAATATTTTTCAAAAACTGAGATTAAAAATGGACCAATTTAATTAATTTTAACTCAAGAAACACAAAACTGTTTTAATTTTTGCAATCACGGATTCACTTTGTCCTGAAAACACCACAATTCGTCAATTTTATATTTTTGACCTTGTGGACCACATTTTTATCCAAATTTCAAAAACTAAAAATCAAAAAAAAATTCTATTGCTACATTTGGAATCCTTGTAATATTTTACACAAAAAATCATAAATTGACAATATTTTAGCATATTTTACAAAAGTCACAAAACTGAATTTTATAAAAAAATTTGGTCAAATTTTAATTTTTTTCAAAAACTGAGATTAAAAGTGGGCCGATTTAATTAATTTTAACTCAAGAAACACAAAACTGTTCTAATTTTTGCAATCACGGATTCACTTTGTCCTGAAAACACCACAATTCGTCAATTTTATATTTTTGACCTTGTGGACCACATTTTTGCCCAAATCTCGAAAACTAAAAATCGTACGAAAATGCGGTTTTCAGATTCGGATTCTACGAGACTTTTTGCATAAATAGCGCTACATTTCAGACTTTTGAGTTTGCGTAGAAGCCACAAAACTAGCAATTTTGCCTCTCGACTGGCCGTCTGCGTTTTTTCCCAGTACTTTGGCTTGTAATTCGGTCCCAACGGCCGCGTTAATTATAATTCCCTTGTAATAAGCTCGCCTCGGACACTAATCAGAATAGGTACAAGCTTTGATAAATTTAATTGGGTCCGAGAGGGCGTTTATCTCTCCGATATCATCCACTTTGTCGTCATCAATTATCCTCTTGAAATATTAAGCACTCACCATTTTCCGAGTGGCCAACAGGTTCCGGGTAGATAACCGCCGTATCGCTCCTCTGGAGATACTCCTCGATGTTTTCATCTTCTTGCTCTCCAACTGCTGCTTTCACCGAGATGAGGTCGTTGGGGGCGTCCTCGGCCGAGCCCCCGGTCACTATTTTGGGCGGATGCATCGAGAGACCGTTGAGGACCTCCTCGGGGACGGTGGCCTCCTTCAGACGCTTGGCGGGGGCCTCGGGACTCATCTGCACCCCGTTCACCACCTCCACTGCAAAAAAATCCATTTCAATCACACACAATTCTCCCCTTCTTTGAATAATTTTAGAAATGTTACTGAAAGTAACATTTTTGAAGGGAGTTTTAAAGTCGTCCTCCATTTCGACCCGATTTGGTCCCTATTGAGTTGTTTTGGTTGGTAGATTATAAGAAATTTTTCCTCACATTCTTATTTTTCTAAAATTTAGAGACTAAAACTACAAATAAACGTGTTTTTTTACGTCATTAACTCCAAAGTGTTTCAATTGGTGCCAAATCGGGTCATATTGGAGGCAGTTTGGCCGAAATCCATTCTCAACAACAAAACCACTTGAATAATAATAAAAATGTGGTAAACAGTAACATTTTTGAATGGAATTTTAAACTCGTCCTCTATTTCGACCTGATTTAATCTCTCTTGAGTTGTTTTGGTTTGAGATTAAGTAAAAGGGCTAAATAGGGGTCAAGAAAATGCTCGAAATCAGGATGGGGAGGTCGTAAAACACCATTTTGGCTAAAACCACTAAAAAATTCATGTCTCCTTAGACTATATTTTGTCCCAAATCTCAAAAAAAAACAAAATTTTCAAAAATTCTATTGTCAGATTTGGAGTTCTTGACATATTTTGCGCCCACAACATCCAAATTAGAACGATTTTGGCCACTTCTTCCTTCACACAAGGCACTAAACCGAATTTTACATGTCCATATCAAGAATCTTGCCAAAAAAAGGCAATTTTTTTTTAAATTAAAATCAAAATTATGCTAATTTTGACTAATTTGAGTCCGCAAAGTACAAATCTGGAGTTATTTTTCAAATTTTTCACATATTACGCCCTAAAAACATCAAAAGTCGGCAATTTTAGGTTTTTGTCTTTGTGGACAACATTTACCCAAATTTCAAAAACCTAAAAAAGAAAAAAAATTCTATTGCCATATTTGAAATCCTTGTAACATTTTACACAAAAAAAATCATAAAAAATTGACAATATTTTAGCTATTTGAAGTTTCACCAAAGTTACAAAACTGAATGTGACCTGACGACCCCAAAACAATTTGGTCAAATTTATTTTTTTTTTCAAAAACTAAGATCAAAAATAAACCCAAGAAACATGAAACTGTGCTTATTTTTCAATTGCAATACACATTTTGAGCTAAAACCACAAAAAAATTCGAAAATTTTGAATTGTTGTTTCATTAGACAATTTTTTGGCCCAAATCTCAAAAACAACAAAATTTTCAAAAATTCTATTTTCAGATTTGGAGTTCGTGCCACATTTTGCGCCCACAATATTTAAATTAGAATAATTTCAAACAAGGCACTAAACCAAATATTACAGTCTACATCAAAAATTTTGACAAAAAGGCAATTTTATAAAAAATTAAAATCAAAATTATGCTAATTTTGACTAATTTGAATCTGCACAGTACAAATCTGAAGTTATTATTTGAATTTTTGGTATATTGCGGCCTAAAAACGTCAAAAGAAGGCAATTTTAGCTTTTTGACTTTGTGGACCACACTATTTATGCCCAAATCTCACAAACTAAAAATCGTACAAATGTCTAGTGTTAAATTTGAAATCTTTGCTTTATTTTATAACACAAAATCACAACTCAACGACTTTTACTTAAATTTACTTTCACAAGAATCATAAAACACCCAAAATTTTGGTCAAATATCTAGTTTTTTCAAAAATTAAAACCAAAAGCAGATACATTTTTGATTAAATTGTCCGTGGTGAAGACAAATCTGGTCTTATTTTTAAAATCTATTACATACTTTGCCTTCAAAACATCAATTAGAAAGTAGAAATAACTGTTTTTAAGTTTTTAACTCCAAAGTGTTTCAATTGGTGGCAAATCGGGACATATTGGTGGCAGTTTGGCCGAAATCCATTTTTAACAACAATAATGTGGTTAACAGTAACATTTTTGAATTGAATTTTGAATATGTCCTCCATTTCGACCTGATTTGGCCTCTCTTGAGTTCGAGATTATGAAAGAGGGCTAATTAGGGGTCAAGAAAACGCTCGAAATCAGGATGCGGAGGTCGTAAAAGCCCGGTTTAATTTTTATTATCTTGTCATACACTTATTTGATTTCGCAGGATAAAAATAATAAATTAAACGAAACGAAACAGCCGACTATAAAAACACAACAACTAAATTGCTACACGAGAAAACACCCCCACCCCGATAATAATAATCAAGGAAAAACAGACTTCCGGTTAAGCTGATGGATGGTTGTTGGTCACACGTCATCAACAAAGAACCAATGAGGTGGAAGGTCGATTTCCTGGTGCTTCTTTGAATATTTCCAATTCGATTTTTGTGTTGTGAGTCATGATCGTAACCCTCTGTACCGTTAAACAACGATTAGTTCTGCAAGGGGTGGATAAAATCCTCCCCCAGGTAGATTTTGAATGGGGTTGGATGAGGGTGAGTGTCACTTAGCTGGACAAACGTCGGCCGCATGCCGATTCGACGTGCCGTAATACCATTAATTATTATGATAATTTCTTCTCGCACCTCGGGGATGAGAAATGGGGTGGCAGATGCGATAAGGGGTAATAGGGACACCGGCGACAGGTATTGTGTGACGCTGAAAAGGGGTTGGGGGTGGCCGACACGAAAAAGCCCAGATTTTTGACACTCATTTCAAATTTTTGACATATTTCGCCCCTTGTGGGCCCAAATCTCAAAAACTAAAAATCATACAAAATATTTTGTGTTAAATTTGAAATCTTTACTTCATTTTATACCAAAAAAAATCATAATTCAAAGACTTTTTTGTTAAATGTTATTTCACAAGAATCATTTACATGAAAACACCCAAAATTTTAGTCAAACAGCTAGTCTTTTCAAAAATTAAAACCAAAAGCAGGTACATTTTTAACTAAATTGGCCTTTGTGAACACGAATCTGGTCTTATTTTTAAATTATAAAACACATTTAGGGCTAAAACCACAAAAAATTTCCAAAATTTTGAATTTCTATCTCATTGAACTATATTTTGACCCAAATCTCAAAAACAACAACAATTTCAAAAATTCTATTGTCAGATTTGGACTTCTTTCTACATTTTGCATTCTCAACATCTAAATTAGAACGAATTTTAGACATTTCTAAACCGAATTTTACGTGTCCACATCAAGGATCTTGGCAAAAAAGGCAATTTTTTCAAAAATTGAAATGAAAATTATGTTAATTTTGACTGATTTGAGTCTGCAAAGTACAAATGTGGAATTATTTTTTAAATCTTTGAAATACTGTTGTCACAAAGTCACAAAGCTAAATGTTACCTGAATTTTTTTTTAACTGAGATCAAAAGTGGGCCAATTGTAATTAATTTGAACCCAAGAAACACGGAAATGTCCTTATTTTTCCATTGCAAGACACATTTTGTCCTAAAGTCACTAAAAAATTCGAAAATTTTGATTTTTTGTCTCATTGGACTATATTTTGAGCCCAAATCTCAAAAACAACAAAATTTCAAAAATTCTATTGTCTTATTTGAAGTTTTTGCCACAGTTTGCGTCCATAACATCTACATTAGGATGGTTTTGGACATTTCTTTCTTCACACAAGGCACTAAACCGAATTTTACATGTCCACATCAAGGATCTTGGCGAAAAAGACAATATTTTCAAAAATTAAAATGAAAATTTTGTTAATTTTTGAGTAATTTGAGTCTGCAAAGTACAAATGTGGAATTATTTTTTAAATCTTTCGATATATTGCGTCCTAAAAACATCAAAAGTCGGCAATTTTAAGTTTTTGCCTTTGTGGACCACATTTATGCCGAAATCTCAAAAACTAAAAATCGTACAAAATGGCTAGGCTTAAATTTGAAATCTGCCTTATGTTATACCAAAAAATCATAACTCAAAGACTTTTTAGTTAAATGTACGTTTACGAAAATCATATAACTGAATTTTACATGAAAACACCCAAAATTTTAGTCAAACAGCTGTTTTTTTCACAATATTTAATCATCTGTAATAAAATAACTCTTTTTTCGAAAACTTAAAAATCCTGAGAAATAGATCAAAATATTTTTTATGTTGGTCAAAATGGCACTTTCCTTATGTAAATTGACCTGAGAATTTGGAATTTGTTACGCAAAATTAGCTCCGCCTACTAAGAAATATCGACACACATAGATATTGGCTTAGTCAAACATAAAAAATGCTGGCAAATAGCTTTTATTTTCTATAATAAATTTTTCTTTTGCGTAAAATCGCACATTTCTTATGTAATACAATCCAGAGATTACAAATCTGTAACCTAAAACCATCTACGCCTAGTAGCTTTGGACATATTGAAAGATATAGCTCCAACTTGAGTCAAATTTTTTTTTTATCTTGGTCTAAATTTTGCTTTCAAGTGTACATCTGTAATCTAATAACACTTTTTTCCACCTGACAAAAGCGTTATTATGCTCCATCCGCATCCAGCTGGCCGTGTTCAAAGCCTCCTTTCTTTTATCAAGTTTACAAAAATATACCGTGTGTTTAATTGAAAACTAGCATCATGGTCCATTTTACAAGCTTCAACTTCCATATATTCGTTGTTTCGTGTTGACACTCGTTTCATAAAAGCTAAGAATCGAGAAATATGACATGTTTTAGCGAAAACTCGGAGCTTATGTATGATGTCGGGGCTAATACTTTGCTTCTTTATTAATATTAAAGTCGATTCGCATTTGCATGTACACAGCGTTATTACGTTATGTTTGCACGACGACAATAAAACCGCTTTATTGCTTGATTTTTTCCACCGAATTCTCAAGTGAGTGATAAGTCGTTGGGTCTGATAAGGGGCCATCTGTGGGCGGTTTTGGTCTATTTTCCAGGATTTTTAACTTTTGACTCAAGCTGTAGCTATATTTTTTAATATATCCAAATCTAGTAGGCGTAGCTGGTTTTAAGTCCTAAATTTGCAATCTCTAAATCGTATTACGTGGGAAAGTAGCATTTTACACAAAAGACAAATTCATCATAGAAAATAAAA